CTCTATCCCAGCTGAAACCAGGACATAAAGCCACTCGTCGGCAGGCACCGAGCACTGTGTGGGCCCTCGGGGCTTTTCGGGGCACCAGCTCTGCGGGGGAGCTGATCCCACTGCTCAAGAGGTCAGCAGCATTCTCTGAGGGTGGGACATGCAGGGCATGGAGAGCAGGGCGCAGGCAGCTTCCAGGAGTCCGGTGCCGCAGCCTCCTGGGTTGCCCGGCCCGAGATGGTTGGGGAACGAGGCTGCGGATGTTTCTGTGCAGAAGGAAGGGCAAGCCCTCGGTAGTGGAGCTGGCACACAGGGAGCTGTGCGAGCAGCAGGAGGGACAGGCTGGTGCAGAGCTCTGGTTCCTCCCTGCAGGCGCTCTCTGCCTGGGCTTCCCTGTCCCAGCCCCCGGGGACCACTGCTGCCAGCGGTCCTGCCCGTGTGCGGGCACAGGGGTGGCCCACAGGTGTGCTCACGCCCTGCGAGGCCGGCAGACCCCCGCCTTCCCTGACCCATGTCATGGCATACCTTTCTTTTCCAGAACCAGATGAGCCATTTGAGTTCATTATCGTGTCCCTGACGGGCCAGACGTGGCTCTTTGAGGCCTCAACGTCAGAGGAGCGAGAGCTTTGGGTCCAGGCCATCGAGAGCCAGATCCTGGCCAGCCTGCAGGGCTGTGAGAGCAGCAAAAACAAGGTAAGAGGCCTCGGCTGAGTTCTGCTTTGTTCCCTCTTCTCTGGCATCTGCTTTGCTGCATCCGTCCCTTTGCCTGCATCCCCAGGCTTCCCTCTCTGTCCAGGCTGGATCCTGTACTGATCCCTCTGCTCCCAGTCAGGGTTGAATCCCATCCCTGGGATTGTGCTGCTCCCACGGGTTTCCTGTCACCTCTCTGAGCTCCCTGTCCTCTCCCCAGCCTGGCTCTGGCCCCACGGAGCTGTCTGCATCCTGCCAGGGCTGGATCCTGTGCTGTCCGCTCCCTCCTTGGACAGCTCTGCCTTTTTGCTCCCCCGGCGCACACCTGGCTACGAATCGGTGTTCCCTCCGGACCCCGTTCTCTGAGCCCGGTGCTGGACACCCCTCCTGCAGCAGAACCTGCAGGAGGTTCTGGCGGCTCCCCGATGGGCTCTTGGGGTGGTGATGAGAGGACACGTGGCGGGGCAGTTGGCCCTGGGTAAACGGGGTTCCTGTGCATTTTGTTTCAGGCTCGGCTGGGCAGCCAGAGCGATGCACAGGCCATGCAGGCCGTCCGCACCGCACGTGGGAACAGCTTCTGTGTGGACTGCGATGCACCAAGTAAGAAGTGCTGCACCGGGAGGTGGGGCCGCTCGCCCAGGGAGGGCGGGGGACTCCTCTCTTACCCCAAAGGGACCTGCTCTGTGGGGCTGTCTCGTCCTCTCCTGCAATGGACTCGTTCTTCAGGGATGGGGGGTGACCCACCTGCCACACTGGTCCATGACCCCTTACTGACCAGCCTGGGGTCCTTGCCTCTCTGTGCTGCTGGGACACTGGGCTTGGAAGGGAGCTGGTGGGCAGGTGCCTGCAAATGTGGGTCTCCTGGGTCACAGGAGACAGGCTGGTGAGTCCATGCTGGTATTAACCCTCCCGCACTGATCTTGCTGCCCTCAGATCCGGACTGGGCAAGTCTGAACCTGGGCTCCCTCATGTGCATTGAGTGCTCCGGGATCCATCGCAACCTGGGCACCCACCTGTCCCGCGTGCGCTCCTTGGACCTGGACGACTGGCCTAGTGAGCTTCTCATGGTCATGACGGCCATCGGCAACGCCCTGGCCAACGCTGTCTGGGAAGGAGCGGTGGAAGGCTACCCCAAGCCCACCCCCGAGAGCAGTCGGTAAGGGAGATGGGGGACTGCAGAGATGCTTCTCAGACAACCACACCAGGAGGCTTGAGGGCACCACAGGAGATTGCGAGCAGCCAGCCAGAGAGGTGGGCAGGACTCCTCAAGGTACTCCAGTGTCCAGGGTCCTGCCTGCTCTTCAGGCACTGGAGGCCCTGTCCCACTGTCCTGGTGGGCCAGCAGGGCTTCATGGCTGG